AGAAACTCACTAACGCAGATTGCATCTTCCGCAGTGCGGATTTGTATCCTTGGCGCACCTTGGCGTGCCAATCTTGCCCAAACACTCGCAAGCAACGGTCGGGCCGAACACAGAGTAACACGGCGCTGGCGGGTGTTTCCGACGTGCTGTGCGACGCCCACCGCATGCCGCCAATGCCACACCAAGATAGACCCTGTGACCAACTCCTGCAAGAAAAAGGCAAACGGCTGCTCGTCGGAGCGAGCTGATGAGCTTGCGGTCTTCGCCACAGTCGACTTGTCGGATCACACTGGGACCTTGGAGCGAGCGCTGGTGGATGAAAGCACTCTGTGCAGCATGGCCCTGGCGGAATCCAAAGTCGATCTTCTGAAGATGATCGACAAAGAAGGCCCAGAAGGCTTGTGCTTTCGAACGCAGCTGGACATGCGTCTGGCGACGAGCTCTGGCATGACGGAGTCTTACAACAGAGGAGCCAAGGAGGTTGTGACGGCTTCCAGTCAGCAGGACACGCAAGACTCCGATCGAAAGACTGAGGCTTCGCAAGATTGCCAGTTTCAGGCGGCTGCAGCCCAGACTGCGCTGGGAAAAGCCTACGACCCCCAGAGTCGCCCCGTGGTGAGGAAGGTGCTGCGCCTCGCCAACGTGTGCGCGGAGGGCTCGATCTATCCCATCTCCAGTGTGTACTCCGACATAACCTAGTCTGGACTGGGCATCAAGATTGCGCAAGCTGCCATTTTCCCGTCCTGCGTGACCATCGTTGCCGTTGCCAAAGATGACGGCTCCATGCATCGATTTGGCGACAAGAGTGACGGGCACGTGCTGATCAAGCATGAGAAGGTCCTGCCGATGGGCAAGGAGGAGCCAAAGGAAGAATTTGGAGCGGAGGTCGTTTGCAAGTTCGACCAATGCTTGCAGCACAGCACGTCGGACGGCGCGCCGCGACTGCTGCTTGGCGCGCTGAGCCGCGACGATGACCACTCCCGGGCAGCGCTGGTCGTGGAGCGCATGCTTCGCCTGAAGGAGGTGATCCAAAGGTTGGCCGAGGAGCACCGCTTGACTCTGGGCCTCCAATCCGAGACGGTGCAGGCCACGACGCAGAAGCGGTCTGCTGATTCCCTGGTGGCGCAGACTCCCGCCAAAGTGACACTCGGTCGCGTGGCCGGCCTAACCTCAGTTTCGCGCGAGCTACGTAGCCGCAGCGGGAAGGCGCGTCTTTGCGAATCTCGTTGCAGTTGCGGCCCCGCGGATGGCAGGCTGGACCTGGGACGTCGTGTCTTTGCGAATCCTAGGAACGGCTGCTTCAACATACGCCCGTAGACCGCGCCACCGCGGCTGCCAGAGCAAAAAAGAAGGCGACAGACCGCATCGCACTTGATTGCGTGAACATGCAGGATGTGCAGTTGAGATTGGCCCTGCACAGTAGTTTCGGATCCAGCCACCTTTGAAGCTATGTTGGCCCCTTGCTCCCTCGTGCCGCAGGAGACCGTGCAGGGCACGATCGAGATGTGGCTGCGCGACATGAACGATCGACACTGCAACCGCGAAACTTGGCAACCGCTGGACTTTGTCGTCTGGGAGCACCGCTACTCCTTCAAGTCCATTGAAGACTGGCCGCTGGACGCCGCCGTGATCTATCGCCATCATGCAAGGCAGCATCAGCATGTGCTGCTGGGCAGTTTGAAGGCGGCCTGCTCGCTCGAGGACATCCACTCCCAGCTTAGTGTACGAGTCAATGTGGTAGTGACCCTCTGTGGCGACGAGATGTCTACGCGTGGCTGTCCAAAGGATTGGCCACTCTCCTTCTGGCACCATGGAGTGCGGCATCTTCGTGATCACTTGGATGACTGGACCCTCAAGATCCCGCGCAAAGACCGCGAGAAGCACGAGCAGTATGCTCTCGAGTGTTTGAGTCACTGGAAAGAACTTTGTCGCCAGCTTTGGAACTGGTCCGCAGAAATAGCTGCCGAAGAAAAAGAATTTCAAGTCTTGTTTCATTGCTTTGGAGGCATCAATCGCAGTGCAGGCGCCTTGCGCGCTTGGCTCATCGTGGCCTATTCCTTCTCGGCTGACGACGCGCTGCGCCTGTTGCTGGAGAAGCGCCCTGCGCTTCGACCCTGGCGTCATCGCTCGCACGTCTTGTGGGCACTGTCAACGGTGGAAGCGCAGCGTGGGATGTGGCGCCAAGAGCTCAACAGCTTGCGCGCTGCCGAAGCACGGCCGAACCTTTAGCTATAGCATTCGTCGAGGCTGGCGAGTTTTTTCGACGCCTCCAAGGTCTGTTTGTATTGCGATCCATGCGTGGAGAGTAAAACATGCCCGCCGCTTGCAGGGGTCAGCTGCACTTGGAAGGGCAGGCCCGAGAAGAAGGAGAAGCGGCAAGGGATAACATTCAGCAAAGCTGCCGTCAATGCAGAATGCGCATGAAACAACGCAGCGCATTTTCTTGTTACCTGCTCACATGCTTTGTGCTTCCGGGCCACATGTTGTCTAGTTTAACTACATGTGGCCCAACTTAAGTATTTGTAAATGTAACTACATGTGTATCAGTTGCACTTTGGCGGTATTCAGGCGGCTCAGGCAACACTACATTTGTTGATTGTCTGCTCGCGCCTACAGCCATTTAATGCTCCGCTAAGGCTACAACGAGAACGACTACCGATTCAACCACACAACACCCGGCGCTACACTTTACTACCAACCAACAGCAATCAGCGAGCAACTGCACATTACAGAACATCAGACTGCAACCGCGCTACACCTCAACGACCACATCCACTACATACAACTCTTTACAGCACTCACTCTTGAAGAGTACCAACTACTTTCACTATAACAAACAACACCACTCGACTGCCTCGACTACAGTCGACCAATCCGATGCGTCACAGGGCCACACTACGACTCCAAATTAATGAGCATCACAATGGCAGAAGCATGCAACGCTCACTACTACCACACCACTTCATTCCACGCTACAACGAGTCACCCTGACGACTACGTTGTCGTCAAACTACACATCGAGCAGGAACTATTACTGAAGTATCTCACCTCAGGGCAACTACTACACTTCACCCGGGACTACATCTCCTACATGCTCTCCATTCAAACACCACACTACATTCCAACCTCACAACACGTACAACACATCTACAAGGTGGACTACGACATGAGCAGGCTCACCGAGATCTACAGCCTGAAGAACAACTACATTCGGAACTACCACATGCCCTTGCTCCTACCTGACCTACTTCACTACCTCAACCACCACGACCAACTACACGACTTTCAGTACAAAGCAATCACTACCCTTCTTCACAAAAGCACACACTACTACGGCTTCACACTACTCACCATGACCGACCTCACTTCACCACAACGACTACAACTCAACAACTACCTTCGCAGTCACAACCTACAACTGGCAGCACCCGAGATCGATGACAATCGACCCGATTTCAACAACTACTTTGTCACACACTACTTCAGCACACTCGACGACAGGCTGAAGCTAGTGCACAACTACAGACTTCACAACTGGCAGCAGCATGCTTGATCACTACATGCTGGACTACATCATTTGAGTCGCTGAGACTACTGAGGGTTAACTAGGACCCTGTACAGTCACTACATTCTTTGGCCTTTGAGGGTTAGATGAACTACAGCCAGCAGCGTTGTAGTAGACCTACCTTCGGTCATTTTTGCAGAACAAAAGCTACAAAGCTACGTGTTAGTTCCTTTTGGTTTCCCCCTTTTTTCAACTACGGTTGCACAGCACTTACAGGTTGCACAACCGAGGGGGCGTGTTAACTACAGTGGATGCATGATACAGTTGCATGTGCACTACACTGGTAGTTCATACATACTGCAGGCCTTGAGCCTCACTACCGCTGGAGAAGAAACAAGGGCGGCGGCAGACTACATTTGTTTGTGATAGAAACAAACCAGCATTTGCACTTGTATTTCAACGGAGAGAGAGAGAGAGAGAGAGAGAGAGAGAGAGAGGAAGGAGAGAGTGAGACAGAAAGAGAAAGAGAAAAAGAGAGAGAGAGAGAAAGAGAGCGAGAAAGCGAGTGAAAGAGGATTGGGAGGATGGGGAGGATGGGGAGGAGAGAGACAGAGAGGGAGAGAGGACGAGGGAACACACGGGGGAGGAGAAAGGGGAGGAGAAAAGAGAGAGAGAGGAAGAAGGAGAAAAGGGAGAGGACAATGTCGAAACGGTGCAAAATTGGGGTATTCGGCCCTCCCGCAAAATAAATGCACAATACCTTTCAGCGCTTTGCAGCAAATGAGTGTTTGCTGTTGCCAATGTCACAAAATACGCGCTTAGGTTGCAAGAATCAGGCTTGATGATCAGCAGCAAGCCTTGCATTTGCCTGCGTCCGTTCTCGAATTTGGCGGCCCTGATGCAACAGACTTGCTGTCAGAGCTTCTTGCGATCATTTGTTCCCACGGTTGAACCAAAAAACAAAATCCGCCAACATGTCCGTCTTCGCTGGAATTTGTGTCTCCGGTGAGTGTATGGGCGAAACCATCAGCACTAAACACAAGCCCCAATACTCGAGCATCCTAACTGCGCAAAGCGCTCATTTCCTCTCATTTCTGTATCATGTCGAGCTGTGTCCTCATCTTTGCCAGCATGTTGGTTGTTGCACATCTTCTGGTCATGGTTAGGACCCTGGTTTCACAATATTAAGTGACTGAATGCGCCCGCGCATTAGATCCCTGGCCTGATGTTTGTTTTGCTTGGCAGTTTTTCCGTTAGTCATGGCCAGGCTATCTTGAAGCTGCTGTTTCAGTTTGTCAGCCTCTCCGCCAGTGCTTTCCCGTGGCAAAGACCTCGACTCATTGGTCATTCCATCCATCCGTCCATCCATTCTTCCACGTCTTTGTGTTGGAATTTAGACGCAATTGTCTGTTGCATATGCTTCTGATCTAATTGTGCTCTCTACAGAAAAGTGCGCCCTGATGCAACACAACGAAAGCTTTACTATGGCTCAGGCTCCATTGCTGAAGCATCTTCTAAGCTCAGTGACTTCACCTGACACATGAACGTGTTCATCTGTTGCAGTATTGCGCGCGTCTCTTTGCCTGCATCACTATTGTAGCACGCCCGACGACCAGCTGCCTGCCTGACTCTCACATTGTGCATTGCAGCGATTCAGCGTAGTTGGAGATCGCATATTGCCGATCCATGCTGATTGCATCTGGCTACATCTGAGTACTACGTTCCGCACCGGCCAACTGTGCAACATGAATGGGGGCCTTCACTGGCATCAGACGTGGTTCGCGTAAAGCTAACCTTGCCGAGCTGCACAGAGCAAGAGAACCCTGGAATGTCTCTACATGGCGTAAAAACATACAGCACGCAAACAAGCAAACAAGCAAACACACAGACAAACAGAACAGACAGGACAGACAGGACAGACAGGACAGAGAGGACAGACAGGACAGACAGGACAAACAGGACAGACAGGACAGACAGGACAGACAGGACAGAATAGACCGCGACAGACGGGACAGACAGGACAGACAGGACAGAATAGACCGAGACAGACATCAGGATAGACAGGACAGACAGGACAGACAGGGCAGACAAGACAAACGGGACAGACAGACAGAACGAGCAGGACAGGACAGGACAGGACATGACAGGACAGGCAGGACAGGACAGGACAGGACAGGACAGGACAGGACACAGGACAGGACAGGACAGGACAGGACACAGGACAGGACAGGACAGGACAGGACAGGACAGACGCACATATACACACACACCGAACAAACCCACATACACACAAATACGCACGCACGCTGAGTCACCTAGGAAGGATCCTAAAACGTCAGGAAACTCATGCCAAGGGGCATTGCGCACCAACCGCTTTGAGGTGGTGCTGCTCTCTTGGACCTGCAACGGATGTTGCTTGCTTGATGACTGTGGAGCATCCTGATTTGGCGGCAGGGCACGCGTATTTTTTCACACCACCTCATCCACAGATATGTTTGGACAAGCCTGAGACTTTGCTCAGCTTCTGCCACCTCACATTAGCTCTTTCCTGGACATGAAGCAAATGCTCTTTGTATTTCGGTCTTCTCCATGTGCGCAAAGTTTCACTCCTGAAGCCCTGGGAATATCAACAGTAGCATAAGAAAAGCCAGCCTTTACGGCCCTTGGAGTTTGATCGCCTGGGCAATGTGACTCGTTCTCACACATGGGCACATGTTAAATGCGCCAATCAACCCAACAAAAACCAGTGAAACCAACGGAAAAACAATGGAACATCAATGGAACATCAATGATGATCCTTCAACATCACAACTTCGCATTGAGATCAAGGCTTCTTTTGCGATGCGGAACCTTGGATTACTTCTGAAGGACACACAGGCCTCACGGGAACGTACTTGGGCAGTCCAAGCTCGAAGCTAGGGCTTGCTTTCTTCTTATCTTTGGCCTTAGAAGCTAAACAATGTAAGGGATCCTTGTTTGCTGCATCCTTCAAACTGCCAAAGGGCCTCGTATGCAGTGTGAGTATGGATCTCTTGAGGCTTCTCAGTGCTGCGCGCTCTCCTTCTTCTTGTCCTTCCTGTTTGAACTGCTGCTGCTGCTGCTGCTATTGCTACTGCTGCTGCTACTGCTGCTGGAACCTGGGACTTCAGATCACTTCGCTAGTACGGGGCACTCGGCGCTTATTGGGCCAAAGAATAGGCTGCTTCTTCACTTTGTCAACGGGACTGGGTTGCATCAAGCAGAAGTTAATGGTGCCTGACACTGTGAATTACTGCTTCCTGATGGTTCAGTCGCTTGAAAAACATGTGCGTCATTGGACAAAAATTGCAACTTTCTTGCATTGATTCGTCTCATTCGCTCGGATTCGATTCAGCCACTCAACCGAGCTAGCTTTCTCTCCATGGAGCTAGTGGACGTGGATAGTGATAACACTATTCAATTTCGGCAAATTCTGCCAAATACGCGCGTCATAGATCGAAACAAACATGCTGAGTGTCAATTGCGAAAGTATGGCATTTAGGCTCTGGCCCAAAGTTATCTCAATCTTTGCTGCGGCGAAACACAAAACCCAAGCTCTCGAACGCTTGATGGTTTGATACCCCAATTCCATTTTTAGCAATAGGCCAACACGTTACATCGTCCTAGTGCTGGAGCAAATTTCATGAGCAGTCTTCATGAGCTGTGTAGACAGTGTTGGCAGAGATCTGCAAACCTTGAATGTCTCAGACGCTGACGTCGCTTCTTTCGCCGGTCGCGGTCGAGGACACCATCTGCATTCAAAGCAAACACGCACGCTGATGCAAAATGCCCACTAAGGCCGGTGTCCAAAGTCGCGCCTTCTTTGGATTCTCCCTATCCCAGCATTCACATACGGTCTCAGAGCTCAAGCTGCATACGTTGTCAATTCAACAATGCGAGCATGATCTGCTGGCTGTTACACAATGTTAACAAAAAAAACTCTAAATGACCTGCAAAACACCGCCTTCTCCTTCTTCTTCTCCTTCTTGTGTTCCTTCTCCTTCTCTTTTTCCTTTTCCCTCTCCTTCTCCCTTTCCTTTTGCTTCCCTTTCTCCTTTCCCTTGTCCTTTTCATGTCCCTTCTCCTTGCCTTTCTCTTTCTTCTCTTTCTTGTCTTTCTCCTCCTTCTTCTCCTTCCTCTCCTTCTTCTCCTTTGCTTCTTGATTAGAGCTACTGCTGCTGCTGCTGCTAGAGCCTCCAAGGAAAGTCACTTCCACGTGTGCAAGCCGATTACTCACTTCAAGGCCTTTTCGCTTCTTGCGTGTATCAGCCCGGGCTGCACCTTCACATGCCGAAAGCATTTGAATCAACGGCTGCAAAGCGTATGAGCGCTCATATGCCATAGCTAGCTTGCAATCACTTGAAATTGCCTTCCGTGCCCCAGCTATTGGTTGCTTCCTCCAAGGCCTGTCCAGGTGGCTGTGTACTGGAGCACCTCCAATTTAATCAGGCCTTCTTGTGCTTGGCGTTGAATAAGTGAAAATTTGCGGTCAGCATTGCCTGCGTACTCATGCGGGCAGACTTGAGATACCTACTGTACAGGATGAACATTCATCATGACGGGCGATCTTACTCTAATCTCTGAACTCCTAGCTTCCGGCGGCACAACACTGCCGGCATGCCTTTGCTTTGCAGCACCATGCAAAAAGAAAGTAAAATTGGCCGCCAGGTTGATGGCCTTCAACTTGCTTCGGTGCGCTGCTTCGCTGGGCACAAAAGTCTTGTTCTTCATGACCTTGCAATCAAACCAACGCCTCTGTGCACCAACTCCAACTGAAGCCCCGTTCAACTCCACAAGCCTGACACTGCAACAAGCCCGCGTGCTCGAAGCGTCGCAGCACGCACATCTTTGCGTGTGTTTCATTATATTCTATTAGCATATCTGCTGTCACACTCCGCAGACAGCATTGATTCTTGCAGCCTGTGATTGCATTTCTGTGTTCTAGGCCCAGACATGAGTGCAACTGTGCATGCAGCCGGCACACAGCTTCGTCAGTTTGCTGTCATCGTTTGGAACATGAGCTACCTGCACAAGGAATACCCGTTAGCAAACAGGGAAGTGAGTACCTATCAGGCTGCTCTGTTGTGATGAAGACATGTTGGACCTGCTGTTCTAGCTGGGGTGTCTACTAAACAAAGCTGTTTCCTACTTCAAGATCCTGGGACTGTTTAAGGGTATTGAATAATGGAAAGTTGCTATTTTCCGTGAGAGAAAATCTGGGCAAAAAACAATACTACTTTTAAAGGGTGGTTTCTCTAACAAAGCTAACAGGCTAGAGGCCTTTGATGAAGGAAATTCAATTGTGCAAGTGGTCCCCAAACCATCAAATGTGAGATAAAGCCTTTCAAATCACAAGCCCAAACAGTCACACAAAGGGGTGTTTGCGGTATCCTGTTTAATCTGACTGTTTTGGGGTCTTCTTTCATGTGAAGCGTCCTTTCGGGTTGGGGAAAATCTCGCAATACTGGGAATTGCATAAGTAATGGGAATCTGAGATCAAGTCTTGGCAATGCTAAACTTAGAATTGCCAATACCAAATTAAGTACTGGGAATCTGAGTGTAAGACATTTCTACTTTTGGAATTGGCATACTTAATTGAGTACGAGGCATCTGAAACTAAATCTTGGCAATACTAAACTTAGACACTAAACAAGTGAAGAATCTGCCATTAAATTCAACATTTAAACGTGGCAATACTGATTAAGTACGAGGAATATGAGACAAAGTCATACTAAATTTAGCACTGGCAAGTCCAAGTCCACCCAACCCCCCTTTCGCCACTAAAGAGGGTCCCAGAGACTGCTGGCGCTGTTCGGGGGAGAGGGGTCACTTTAAAGAAAGTCCCACACTACTGTTGCGGACCAGCACTTAGACCTTGATTCGTCCAATCTCACAGTGTGGCAAATCGTGAATCAAACAAACGCTTGATGACTCTGAGTGGTTGCCGCTAGAAACGGACGCTGTTTGCGAGAAGCTGGCGCAGCTAGACCGCCGTGTAGATGAACGTGAGCAACTTCACGAAGCCAAGAACCGGTCATGCGTGTTGCTGCACTTGCATTTCCCCAAGCAGTTGAACAAATCAAGCTGCAGAAGCTGTGAAGAGCGCACGCGGAGAACTGTTGTGGAATGTGGATGTAGAAGGACATGACACGCGTAGTTGTGAATAAAGCTCTGCATAAATGTTGCTCCATGCCCTTCGAAGGAATCATTGACAGGTTTCACTCCCGACAACGAGCACGGGAAAGAACTGGAAGGGGACACTCCGCAGTTCCTGCAAATCTATGAATAAGATTCTGTGCAAGGATAATCGCTGCGAGAAAGTTCTGCGTAAGCATCAATGCACTGCTGAAAACTTCGTGTCGCATGTCGCCACTCTCGCCGTTTCACATGTGCAATACGCCCAGTGTACGCAACGTGCACAATGCTGCACATTTGCTCCATGCTGCAGCAAGAACGAGTGGACGCAGCCAAAAAACTGCAAAAGAACGCAGCGTCACAGCTACACCGATCCGACGCGCCGCAAAGGCTTCAAAATGTGCTCCCGCAGCAAAAGCAATTGGAAGCACCCAAACTCTGCCGAGGGCAAATTTGCACTACGCCACAGCGAGAGCGATTTGACGCACCCGAAGTTCGCGAAGGTTCGCTTTCGATCTTTTAAGTTTGCATACCAGCACATAGAGATCAATCCAGCCCACCCAAAATTATTGCACACAAATCCACGGCATGCCATTTTCGCACAGCACCATTGCACGAGTTCACTTTTCCGCGTCACACATTTCGGCCCATTTCGCCAAGTTCTTTGGAGCCAAAATGATGCGTGCGTGGATTGCGTTACCAATCTAGCGCTGGACCTTTTGGTGCTGAGTACTGTACTTGGTGTGGACAACTTTTCTGAAAGGGCAACAGACAAAAGAAAAGGAACTAATAAGACACAACGAAAGACGGAAGCGGAAGAGACGCAAAAAGAGGACAAGGAGGAGACAAGCAGGAGACAAAAAAAAGATACAATTAACAAATAAAAAAGAGCAAGCGAAAGGAGGAAGATACAGGGAAATGGAAGGATAGGGAAGGGAAAAGAAATAAGGAAGAGACAAGGGCAAACAGAACGGAGGACACGATGGGAGCAAGCAAGAGGAGCATAAAAGAGGAGGAACATGCTTGGAGAAGTACAAAGTAACATCTGTGTGTGTGAGAGAAGACGGGTGACCGCAAAGCAAGAGAGCGCTTGCCTATTTGGGTGATCTTGAGGCGCATGATTTTGTGAACATGTCGAACTAATTTTGTTGTTTGCATCGATATAGGGCTGAGCGCACCACCTCGTATAGGGCTGCGGCCTGCAAGGCTCATCCAACACCAAACGTAACAAGCTGCAGATCAAAGTTACAAATAACAGCTCTAGAAGCTGCAGCAAATTGCTATGCAAGACAACCAAGACAACCAGGTCTCACTGCAAGCCTTCAATTTGCCTTCAGCTGCCTGCATGAGGGCCATTTGAAGCCTCATAAACTCTTGGGTCATTGCCGGCGCTCTTGTGCAGAAGCTCATGCGCTGGTTGGCGGATTGGCGGACTCACGCAAGTTGAGTCCAAAGCCAGTCCACACGTGAATCGCTCTCCATGCTGAGAACAAACCTCGGCCAAGGAGAGGCCACGCAAGCGCACCATTCCACTGGAGGAACACGCCAATAATCGATTCATTGTTCTTTGCTGTCGATATGACATACCGCTAGCTACAATCTGAGAGGTGTAGACAAGGATGCATACCTACGCAAACTGCCAAACAGACCTGCATGCACGCAAGCAAACACACCAGTCACCATTGGTTGACCAAAACTGAGGATCCAAACTCGGGTTCAGTGTTGATGAGCTCTTCGCTCGCGGAATCTTCGTCTGGCTTCTGCCTGGCAAATGTGAAGTTCAACGGTCGGTTGAAATAGATGTCCTTACCACCCCCTTGCAATACCTATGATCAATGGAAGGTTAGAAGGAACTTCCGTGGTATGGCAACTAATTGGAAGCTAGGTCTCTGACAGAAGACAACAGAAGGAATAAGCACGCACGAAAAATAAGTGCGCATGAAGGTGGGGGAATAGAAATGTCTGAAAAGCGCAGCCCTCTGCGGGTTTCAGTTCCTTTGGCTGCTCGAAAGCTAGCCTAATCATGACGGCTGTTAAAGCAAGTTTGGAGCGATTTCAGAGCGATCTCGGAAGCGCTCGTCGCCGAGCCCTTTGGCACGCGCACACGTTTCGTGACACTAGTTTACATGACAGGCGCAACACTTTCGCATGGAGGGCACAGACTGCGTGGCAGTCGTAGCACTTTCACAAGGTCAGGCACAGGTGCCGTGGAAGGCACACATGTCTCGGAGTTGCGGGACGGATCTAGATGTGGATAAATAGGTAGATGCAAGAGATAGAGGGAGGGATAGCAACCTAGATGGATAAATCAGTCGCTAGACAGATAGATGGATAAACATACCAACAGAAAGACAGACAGACAGACAGACAGGCAGGCAGGCAGGCAGGCAGGCAGGCAGACAGACAGACCAACAGAGAGACGGACAGAGAGATAGAAAGGATAGGACAGGACAGGACAGGATAGGTTGGGATAGGTTGGGATAGGTTAGGATAGGCTAGGCTAGGCTAGGATAGGTTAGGATAGGTTGGGATAGGTTGGGATAGGTTTGGATAGGATAGCATGGAACAGGTAGGAAAGATGGCAATATTCGGCTCAATTCGGTTCAATTCGATTGGATAGATAGAAACATTGATACACAGTTAGATAGGTAGATAGGCAAATAGATAGCTAGGTACATAAATCGGCGACGGGTAGATAGGTACATAGATAGATAGATAGATAGATAGATGGATGGACAGATAGATAGATAGATAGGTAGATAGATCGATACATAGATAGATAGATGGATGGATAGATAGATGAATCGATAGGTAGATAGGTAGATAGGTAAGTAGGCACACAGATAAATAGGTAGATGGATAGGTCGAAAGGAAGATAGATAGAAGATACATGGATAGATGGATAGATAGATAAATAGATAGATATAATATAGATATATAGATAGCAATACGGATGGATGGATGGATGGATGGATGGATGGATGGATGGATGGATGGATGGATGGATGGATGGATGGATGGATGGATGGATGGATGGATGGATGGATGGATGCATGCACAGAGGTAGAGATACATACACAGAAAATGGGTGCATATGTTTTAACAAAATAGATTAAAAGACAGAATAAAACAAATCAAATGTAGATAGATTGGCGAAACGATAGATAATTATACAGATAAATGAATGGATAGGTAGATGGATGGATAGATTCTGTAGCTGGACAAATATCCATGCGGAGATAGATATGTAGATAGATAGATGGGCAGATAGATGGATAGATGAATAAACAGGAATATGGAGAGATAGATAGTTGGATAGAGAGGTAGACAAATGGACAGATAGTAAGATAGATAGGTGGAACGATTACATAGCAAGATGAATAGGTAGGCAGAAAGGTACATAGATAGATCGATGGATGGATAGATAGACAGATAGATAGATAGACAGACAAACAGACAAATAGATAGATCGATCTCGATGGATAGACAGGTAGAAATACTACGTACAGAGAGACAGATCGATAGATACATCAATCGATAGACATATTGCATAGATAAATAGATAGATAGCTAGATAGATAGATAGATAGATAGATAGATAGAAGATACATGGATAGATAGATAGATAGATAGATAGATAGATAGATAGATAGATAGATAGATAGATAGATATGGATGGATGGATGGATGGATGGATGGATGGATGGATGGATGGATGGATGGATGGATGGATGGATGGATGGATGGATGATTGGATGGATGATTGGATGGATAGAACAAGAGAAAGAAAAAGATACCGATATGATATAGATGACATCTACGCAAATATTTTCCCCAGCAGACAGACAGGCAGGAAAGAAAGAGAAGAGACAGCGAAGTGAACAGCAAGAAGGAAAGACACAAAAACAGAAAGAGAAAGAGAAAGAAACAAGAGACTGGACAAGAGAGCTATAGTTCTCATATTTGTGAAACGTGCGCCAACCGGCTTCGTCGGCTCTCCTGGTATTTTTCGAATTTGATACCCGCACACCAGGCAAAATCTGGTCAGCTCGACGGTCGTGGCTGCCGGCGAGCTGTAACTTCTGCATCAAGGAGCCGGTCATCTCGGCGGTTGGGATTGAAACCTCGGACGCAAGTCCCAAGAAGCTGAGCCCTCACATGACACATGCGGCATGCTGGGAAATAGAAGCCATGTTCAGCTCAAGGACGAGCATTTCTCTTGTTGTTGTTCACCTGAGCTGGCGAGTGCATTGTGTGTTTTGAGTCACAGCATTGGGTAAGTCGCAAAGCAGCAACATGCTCTGGTCAAGCCGGCGGACCCACGCCATCACACGCAGAGCCGCTGCATTTTCACCTTCACACATTGAATTCCCAATGTCCCCGAAGGTTGCTCGACTGTCAGCAAGGCGACTGAGCAAAGTGGTATATTGTCCTTTCGACAGGGACGTGTTGCTGAGGCAGCTGCTGCCCCAATCCGGCCGGCTCACGTCATGGCTGGATTTGCAGAATCAACTACGTGTTCATTGCATGAGTATCAGGTGCCTTGTCTCAGTTCGTCCAAGCCTTTCTAACAAGTGCTGGCACACTTCTCACAGTGGCTTGAGCTTTACTATAGTATAAAGTTTAAACTTGAGTGTTAACAAAGCCGTAGCAAAAGGAGTATCAAATTTGCAAATAGTGCCTGGTCGTGTCTGATTTGGACCATGCAAATATTATTCTAAGATGTCACCCATCCTGCAAGCCACGTTGATCGAGGCCAGCATAGCGAGCTTTGCCAAGAGTAGTACAGCTGGCAGGATGATCGAGCCTTCAGCTCTTCAAGGTTCAGGATGCCACTTCCCAACAGCTTAGCCTGGACACGCATCCACAAGCCGTCATGTCGAAAACCCCGGGCGTCAATGATGCTATGGGAACGCCGTCACATAGAAACCATAGCCACCAGGCTCTCAGCACTCAGCCGTGGGAGCAGCATCAGGAGCAGATGGATCAACAACATTCAAAAAGGCTGATACCTGCCGACACCGCGCACACACACACACTCAAACACACGGAGCTGCAATTCAACCCAAGGCAGGAAACGGTGCTTTGATGCTCTGTGTCAACGACTGCTGTGCCTTCAGCTTCTCACTCATCAAGTCGTTGTCCACTGAAAGCCTGGCTTGCAGCCCAGTTGAAATCGATTTCCACTGTCCTTGAAATCAAATGCTGTTCGAATCTCACGACACGCTTGCTGCTGGAATTCCAGCTTGCAGCTTGAGTTCGGCATTAGACGGCATCCAAGCAAAGCCAAGCGTCAGCAAAGTGCTGTTGGCAAACACCGGGCGCTCCGATGGTTGCGAGACGTCTGTACAGCGCCTGCGAAATCTCTGAAACTCTGAGCCTTCCCAGGGGCAAGCTGAGAACGAGGCTTTTCGGCATGGCCATCCAGCTGAATCTCCAGAAAGTATGCGAAAGCACCTCAGCTGCGCTTCCTCTTCCGAGAAATGTAGGAGAAATGCGCTAGCATGGACCGGAGACTTAGGGGCGTGTTCGAGGGAATAGGGGCTGCCCCTCTATCAATTTCGAGCCATCCCTTTCAGGTTTACAAGCAAGAATTCACCTGAGCAGAAGGCTCGCAAATTCACACTCCCCCACGGCAACATCAAGCACCCAATTCTTCGCGACAGGGGCCTCACGCAAACGAAAAACTTCACACGCAATGCCAGGAGTGCTTTTGATTGACTGCTCTGCTTATCTCTTCTTGCTGCTCCACCAAGTAAAACAGCAGCTGCTTCCTGTCCTTGCTGAGCAATGTCATATTCTGCCGCCGCAACTCTTCCATGGCCTTGCATTTGTGTGCAGTCTGAACCATCACAAGAGCTTTCAGCGTGTGATCAAATCGCAAACTGTTGGCCCAGAACTGTGTTGAACACACGTGTCATAACATGTCAATGTTTGTTTGTTTTTTGCATTGTAGCTGTAAAGCGTTGTATATATATATATGTATACATACATATAACATATAATATCATATACGTTTGTAGAAATATGTTTGATATCAGTGCAAGATGATTACTTCCGGTGCCTTTTGGCTCTCCTCCAGCTGCTGCTCCAGTGCCTCAGGCATCCGTTCACGGGCATAGCTGCCCCGTTTCCGCCACACCCTTTCTTCCACGAGAGTGACTTTACTGCACGCGAGCGTCCTACAAACTGAATTCGAAGAATTCGACATGTCAGCTGCGCTTCTGCTTTTTGTATCAAAGCCGAGACTGTCCAAAGCACTCTGGAGCCGCCCCTAGGATCGGGCTGCGCCTTGGCAACGACGCAGCACACAAACACCTACCAACTCAGCACTTGATGGATTCTCGCTGTCAGCATATGCGTTCTGCCGCGCTCATGCAGCCGAAATGCCGGGGCTCCGGTTGCAAGCTGCGGTGATTGCCTTTCATGGGCCGCAAATGTTCCTCATGAAAATGCTGACGTATGCAAACGGGCGGTGATCAAATCTTCTCTGCTGGAAGCCTTTCAAAACTCCATCCAGACTTTTCTTTGCAACTTGTGTTCATTGCTATGTGCGCTGTTGCAGTTGTCAAGCGCAGTGACAACATCGGCTAACTGTTGAATGAAAGCAACCACCATCACTGGCGTTTCCACTTGCATTGGGCCCAATGCGCGAGATGTGATCAAAAGATGTGATTTGGGATTCCGAAACTCGAATGCCGAATCCCAAAATCGGGTTGAGATTAACAAATCCCGTTTTCAGCTTCAAAGCCCTCCCGAGTCCCGAACCCGGGCTCCAAATCCCGGAGCCCCAATTCCCACGGGCCCAATGCGCGAAGCTTGCAACAAGCTCCACCGTTCGCCGATCACGAAACTTGCCCCCGAATGCCCCAGTCAACGCCAAGGCATTTGGCCCACTCCCAGCCCCAGCAGAGACGGGGCATCAAGGATGCAAGTAAAAGTCCTGCACTTCGCCCAATTTACAAGGGAGTGGCGTTTGCAAATATGTAAGCTTACAAGAATTTTCGCGAAGAACAAATCGCTTGCAGACTCCTTTGCAGATCTTTCGCGGGCACAAAAGCATGCAAGGTGAGGTCTTCCACATTATAAATCCTTACCATACGGGCCTTTCGAGCAACTCCTATACACCATTGACATGAGGGGAACTTCAAAGGCTGCATCGCGACGTGGAGCAAAGGCTGCCCCTCAGAATACACCGGTTCCGGGGAAGCAACTGAATAATTACAGACATGCCACAACAGGTGCTACCTTCGACTAATTCCACAAGAGGCACTGTCGTGTCTGCAAGCAAACAGTCCTGTCTCCGCGCCTTGAAATTTGCAAGCCTGACAAGGCTCCGAGTCGGGAGTAGCATCTGAATATGACTCGTGCAAACATGCCATGCCTACCCGCTCTCAACCAATGTGACATGACTTGGCATGAACGCAAACAGCAATAGAGGATGTCCACGCCGCACATTGGAAACCGAGTCACAAGTTGACGAGCGCTCAGTGCATTCATGACACAATTCAACTACGGTGGTAAACTACCAATGGTATGTAGTGCACACGCAGCTACCTTCCCAGACTACAGTCTGCCCTCATGGCTGCTTTTGAGGGCATATAACGTGCCACGCAGCACGAATCTTGTTACGGAGGCATGTGACTGGGGTTCTTGTTAGGCAGCTGTGTAGCCGGAAATCAGTGCTTGACAAGTATCAGAAGCGCAATGTAGCGCAGAACAACAAAAAGGCTGCCAGCTCCAAAGTCGCAACTATTCATCGCACATGCGGTGCTCAAAGCCCACCTCCACAGCTCCGGCTTGAAATTTGCAACCAGTCAACGCAAGCCAAGCGACGGTTTATCAAAGTGCAGTATCTAAAGCGCACCTTCGCCGTTCCAGCTTGAAATTTGAAGCTGTTCAAGGTGAGGCCAAGTGACGGCAAAAAGGGGGGTCGCTGGCCCGGGCTGGGGTTGGGTCTGCAACAAGGTAGGTAACAGCTGTGGAACGAGGTGCATAGCGAGGCACTCCCTGATACCTGTTCCAGCTTTTCTTCTGAGAGTCTGGGTATGCATCAGGGTATGTAACGAGGGCAGGCAACCCGCCAGGCGGATTTGTGAATGTGAGGTGTCTAACGAGGTCCATAACAACTATCCGCCGCGGCTCTTTACAGACCTCTCAAAAGCAATACTGCCACACGACACAAACCTTGCGGGTGCTGGTGAAGCTGGCGCTTTGCCAAGAACTGTGAAATGAGCATCGACTCCAGCTATATTAGTCACATGTAAGCCAGCTCAACATAGTTCACCACAGCATCTCAAAACACCACACAGTCAGAACAGTTTCAGATTGCGAAGTTTTCTTAGACTACCTGCGCTGGTTCTCACGCTCTGAGGTCCTGTTGCCAATTTTCTGCGAAGGCATGATCTGCGCATCGTATACAGCGTGAAATTGCTCTTTGCGCATGTTCACTAACTCTTCAACTGACTGCCTGGCATGCTTGTATTTTGTCCGACCGAATGCACAATGTGGGGGAGTGACTAGTAAGAGGGCCCCTCAAACAAACTGGCGGAGTCAATAGGGAGAAGCCTGGGTCAGAGTTGGGCTTGCTCAAGTAGTCTCCCAGTAAGTACTGCTTCCTACTGGTTTAGAATTGGTTTCGTATTTGTTTGGTATTGGTTTAGTACTCCTTTGTACTGGTTCAGTAGTCGTTAACATTGGTTTAGTATTTGGTTAGGGCCCCTCGGTACTGGCCCAGTGCTTTTTATGTTCCTTATTTCCTCCATTTAAACATTTACGTTTGCTGCTGACTTTTGGGGGCCTTTGCTGTACCACCCCCTTGAAGATATGTCTGGGCGGCTGTAGTAAAGGGTGTCATGAAGAATTTGGCTTTTTGGGGTCTCAGTTGGTTTTACTGGTTCGGGATTGGCAAATTTGTTGGTTCCTGTTAGTCAGTCTTAGTTTAGCATATGCTTATTTTTAGTTTAGTCTCGGCTTTGTGTTGGTGTAGTATTCAATTGCAATCGGCCAGATACCTGTTTATTTTCTCTATTTCCACATTTTAATCACTCATCATTTCTAACTTTACGGGGTTTCCCTTTACCACCCTCTTGAAAATACGTCTGGGCAGCTATTTGTGTAAAGGATGTCACAAAAAAAATGCTGCTTGGGCCTCAGTTGGTTTTGCTGGCTCAAGATTCGCTTAGTATTGGTTTAGTATTAGTTTGGTATGGCCAAGGATTGGGATCACGTTCTTTCTAACCCCCGGACATGCAGTCGAAATCAGTCAAACGTTTACTTTTTTTGCCGATGAAATCGCCCCCGACACACGTCCTGAGTCGCCCGCCTCCTCCAACTCCAGCATTGCGCGCAAGCAAAGCTCCTCCCTCCAGGGTAAGGCCACCAGTTGCACGGCGATTGGGAGACCCTCGGAGTCCTGGACCGCCCTCATCGCCATCTCAGCACCGAATATAGACTGACTCAAAACACCAAAACACATATATAAATTATATAAACATATATAAATTGCATATAAATTATATAAACATGACGTCAAAACAGAAGGTTCAGTCACAGCCAAGATTTGCAGTCAATATGAGTCTTGACTGAGGAAGCCGCTCTGTTTATCTCCCGGTTTTCGCATGCGGGATCATAGGATAGTGCCAAGTCCTGACTGTCAACACAGTCTCGCGGCCTTGTCTCAAAACGCAGGGAACTGCACGATTTCTCCACCATTGATTCTGCATGATTTCTCCACCATTGATTTGTCAAGAGGCACTAGCAGTCACTGAGGTGACGGTGACGACGCCAGCGGGCATGTCAAGATAGTTAAAGACACGCGTAGTGCCAACGTTGAACACCTCTTCTCGCTTTGTCCATGGCAAAGAGCACAGGCCTGCTTTACATTTAGTGCATCCAAAAACTCAGCCTCTTCTCATCCCAAGGCGCCGCGTGCCGCACTTCTTCCACATGCAGCGCGGGTGTAGCACTGGCTGGGCAAATTACGATATCCAAATTTGCTGCCTGCCAGGCCTGGCATTGATGGGTAGCAGCATGCAGAATGTGACGCAACAGCACGCAAGCCTTGTAGAAGCGTTCTCGAAAGTAGTCGCCTCATTTTCTGTCGGAGGGTGCAGCGGCAGCACTTTTTGCAGAGTCATCAAAGTCATAAAATTGTAAACAATCAGTCAGAACGCGCAAAGTCCGAACCACTAGACCTTGAGATGCGCTGCCTTTGGCCTGCCAGCTTTGCTCCTAGCTTAGGTGTGCAGTGAACTGTCGCCACAGGCGTTTCCATGTTAACACTTTAGGGGCACCAATCTGTGAGTGTCACACACAGAGACGAAGTTTTGTCTGGACACTCTCTCCTACCCCCTTTAACGAACAGCCAAGCTGTTTTGCTGAGGGGTTCAAGCTCCTTCCCTCCAAAAATTGCACAATCGAAATTCGGGGTCTTGGCTGCTTGCCACCCGAAGCATTGTGCCAGCAGCGTCATGATAAGTCAATCAGCATCAAAACCCTCACGCCAGTGATGTAATGTGCACGGCATCCTAGTGACGCGCACTGCATTGGCAGATCGTTTGTGTACCATGTGTACCCAACTGAGCTCGGAGAAGAATGGGTTACTTTGAGAGGCAAAGTCACCGAGAATGGCCAGCAAGGCGGTGTGTTTGCAAGGTGTGTTTTGCTTTGGAGCACTCCACACAATTTGTCTTTCCTACGGCAAGTTCAGCTGGTTCCAAGACAATGAGAAAACGAGGCGGTGGGTTCCCTGTGCCTCTGGGACCCTCCAAATACAGCCCGTCAGCGGGAAAATTGCCTGGTTTCATGAGTGGAAACACATGCCAGGCAGTGCGTCCCTCGAAGGTCAAGAAGCGTGCAGGGATAACAGGACAAACATCGCAACATGGTGCTTCACACTTCGGATTTGTACCGGCGTGACATCACCTAGTAGAGCTAGGAAGCATGTAGTACTAGTGGGTATTGTTGCAGTGAGTAGCAAGCAGAACATTGAATCTGGCGATGGCTCGATGTGAGTGAGTGCCCAGCCTTAGCATCCAAGCTGGCTGCTGACAGGTCGGCTGAAATTGAACAGCAGCGTTGGCCAGGTCTAGTATT